ATAGTAATTTATCAAACGACTCAATACCGGACACAAATATTTCGCTAAATCAATATCGATTTCACTCAGCAAATCAGCCTTCCTAAATTTCCATCATCAATGTCACTCCAACCGAAACATTATGCGAAAACAATGCAAAGATGACAAATTTACAATGTAACAAAAACTTGTTCCAAGACGAAACTGCGGAAATATCACAAACGAAATGCGAAAAAGATGACCAAAATGCCAAATAAATATCAAAAAGCATTCAAAAAACTTCTCACTCTTTCTTTTCAACTACATTCCTCACTGAATTTCCAAATATTCCTCACTGAAATCGCTCACAAACGCGTTATTCAAAGACATTATTCCACTCAAATCACCATCAATGAATCCAAAATCGAGACATTTCCATAACCAAAATCAACCGAAAACCAACCGTAAACAACTCAATAGGCAGTCAATAACTTCGAGTTTATAAAACTAACTTAAAATGCAAGTTTATGATCGCCTCTTTCAACTGCTTCATCCGTTGTTCACCGGCTGTAAAGACAAAATCGCGAAATTCCAACACTCTCGCTAAATGTGTCAAAATCACTTTCAACACTGGAAACCTGAATAAACAAACAATTACCAAATTGTTTTTACATAATACGCATATTAATTCCTTTTATAATTTATCAATAAATGAAAAGTCTCATAATTTTCACAATAAATTTTCATAATAACGAATGAAATCTTCACAAAAACAATTCATTCCCTTATCCACAATTCACACAAACAAACAAATTCTAATTACAAAATGCAACTGAATCGAAATGTCTAACAAACTTAATGTCTCAAATACTTTTCTGTCACTAAATAATACCTTCAAAATACATAACCATACTAACCACAACTCCTTTTCCAGTGCCAACGTCGTCACCTCACAAATCTCGCACCACTTAAACTCGCCTTCCGTATCCACCCCCGCACGAACTATATGTGCATTAAGCATATTCGTCTCACCAGTTTTCACTGCAAGCATTCTCGATTGTATCGCAGTAAATTCCTCAATTATGAATGTGCACTACAATACTAAATCAATTAACTACATACAGTCCCATTGCTGGACTGCATATACCTTTTTAAGACAATACACAAAGATACTTCATGCATATCGAGTGTAATCAAATAAATTTGAACAGAAACACAACAATGAAAATAACAATATTATAAATGACAAGATTGCTAACTATAACGAAAATTTTTTAAAATAATAATAACACCAATAATAATAATAATAATAATAACACCAATAATAATAATAAATAATAATAATAATAAATAATAATAATAACAACAATAACAATAATAATAATAATAACACCAATAATAATAAATAATAATAATAAATAATAATAACAATAACAATAATAATAACACCAATAATAATAATAATAATAAAATCAACAATAACAAAGATCAAAAAATAATGAAAATTTGTAGAAACGTACCCAACTGCCCCGTGTAAGGGTCACAAACAATGGA